GTGGCAATTTAACGTTGTTGTCTCAGCTACAACCTATGATCATGTCAAATTGTTCACAGAATCAGAAAGGCTATTTATTGTAAACCATATCCAATTCCAAACACTCTAAACTACATGCTTTGCTTTTCATCATTGAAAAAAAAACATTATTGCAAAATTCTCATTAAGTACTTAGCACCAAAATGAAGGTATGTTCATGTTTTTTTCATTGACATGTTCTATTTACATATAGATTTGTTTATATTTGGTTTTATGGAAAGGTTCATGAAGCGAGGTCCCATGTTCATCATGCACATGGGGAAGAAGAGAAGGTGATGACAAGGAAACAGAAGGCAGATTCCAAGGCACAAGAAGTTGAACATTCTCCTAAAAAGGCTAAGGTGGAAAATGAAGATGGTCACACTAATGGAAAATCTGCAGCTAATGTTGAACAGGAATATGATGAGTTTTGTAAGGCCACTAATGAGAAACTATCTTTGGAGCAAATGAAAGAGATTCTTGAGGCTAATGGTCTTGATTCGTCTGGCTCTGATCTTGAAATTACAAGAAGATGGTTGGTTTGATTTTGATTAGATTAGCTTAGACCATTTTTCAAAATGTTCGTATGTTAGTGATGTGACTCAATTGAGTTTTTTTCTTGAACAGCCAAGACTTGCTGTTTTTTGGTGCATTAGAGAAATGCTTGGTTTGCAATGGCAATTTGGAGTTTGATGGAATACGTTATGCTTGTAGAGGGTTCTACAGTGAGTGGTCTAGTTGCACTTTCAGCACTAGGGACCCTCCAAGGAAAAAGGAACCCATTAAGCTACCAGATTCTGTTCAGAAAACTCCAATTTCAGATGTGATTTTTACCATTTTGTTTTTTCATTGTGTATATGTATAGCATTGTTGTAACTTGTCACCTAAGAAACATCATGTGTGTGTGATGTAGTTGCTGAAGAAATATCAGGATCCTAGTCAAAGGCCACACAGGGATTTAGGCTTAGCTATAAAGCCTTTTACTGGAATGATGATTTCTTTGATGGGTCGTCTTAATCGGACACATGTATGAACCTATGTTGTTAAACTGCACTTTGTTCTTTAGCATCAATTGAGTTTTGTTGATGAATTTTTTGTTTTTGGCTACTTAGCAATATTGGAAAACAACTATTGAAAAACATGGAGGGAAGGTGGCAAACTCTATTATTGGTAATGTGATACAGAAAGTTTCTTTTCTCATCCTTTTATTGCTAGGAACTTCTATAAACTGTTTAAATGTTTCAGGTGCAACTTGTTTGGTGGCTTCACCTGCTGAGCGAGAACGCGGTGGAACATCCAAACTCGCAGAAGCCTTGTGAGTGTAACTAAGGCTTTGGAAAATTTGTGAAGAAAATGTGAACATTTATAAGTAATAATGAACCTATTTTACTATAGGGAGAGAGACATACCTGTGGTTAGGGAGGCTTGGTTAACTGACAGCATCGAAAAGCAAGAACCGCAACCTTTGGAAGCTTATGATCTTGTATCTGATCTTTCTGTGGCTGGCAAGGGAATCCCCTGGGACAAACAAGATCCTGGGGAGGAGGCTATTGAATCACTCTCAGCAGAAGTACATAATTTGCTCTTTCTTACTGATTTTTTTGTTATTTTATAGAACTTTTGTTCAATGTTTGATAAAATTTTGCGAGTGGTAACAGCTCAAGCTTTATGGGAAGAGAGGGGTCTACAAAGATACCAAATTGCACGAGCAAAATGGGAAGATATTTGAAAAAGATGGGATATTGTACAACTGTGCCTTCTCTGTTTGTGACCAAGGAAGAAAACTTAATGAGTAATAATAATACTATGCAATATCAATTGCTACTTTGAAATTTATAAGAAGAAAACTATGGCTAATTAGTATTGTTGATTTGTTGCAGCTACTGTGTCATGCAACTGATTGTTGTCCCAGAGAGTCGTTTGCATCTGTATTTCAAGAAAGGAAGAGTGGGGGACGATCCAAACGCAGAGGAGCGATTAGAAGAGTGCGAGAATGAGAACAATGCTATCAAAGAGTTTGTGAGGCTCTTTGAGGAAATAACAGGAAATGAGTTTGAATCATGGGAAAGAGAGAAGAAGTTTCAGAAGAAGCCACTGAAATTTTACCCTATTGACATGGTACATATATGCACCCCTTAAATGATTAAAAATTTATCGTATATCGATGTCACTTCTGTTTCTTTTTTGGATTAAACATGGATAGCATTATGGCATTGTAGGATGATGGAGTTGAAGTTCGACATGGGGCATTAGGACTTCGGCAGCTGGGGATAGCAGCGACACACTGTAAACTTGAGCCTATGGTTGCAAAGTTTATGAAGGTTCTGTGCAGCCAGGAGATTTATAAGTAAGCACAATAACTGAACACTATTTTGTATGTACAATGAATATTAATTGAGTTTTCAATAATAACCTTACATTGAATTCAGGTATGCATTGATGGAGATGGGTTATGACTCTCCAGATCTTCCAATAGGAATGGTTACAAATCTTCACCTGAAAAGATGTATGTACAATGGAGACAATTATATTTTCATATTTAACTAGTCTCATTTGAGTAACTAACAATGTAACAAATGAACTCTATCAGGTGAGGAAGTTCTGTTGGAATTCATAGAGAAAGTGAAGTCATTAAAAGAGACAGGGCCCAAGGCTGATGCTATTTGGTCTGATTTTAGCCAGAGATGGTTCACTCTGATGCACTCCACAAGGCCTTTCATATTTAGAGATTATCAAGAGATTGCAGATCATGTAATCCAAATAATCCACACCACTGATTTGGTTCAACGATTTATTTTAAAGACTGAATCTCTGTCCTATTTTTTCTATTTCTAGGCTGCTGCAGCACTGGAGGGTGTTAGAGATATAACCCTTGCTTCTCACCTCATTGGAGATATGAGTGGTGGTACCACTGATGATCCATTATCAGCCACATACAAGAAATTAGGTTGCTCAATTTCTCCCCTGGAGAAAAATTCAAATGACTATGAGATGATTGTGAAATACCTTGAAAAAACTTATGAACCTGTCAAAGTTGGTGACATTGTAAGAATACAACTCTTTCTCGTTGTTTCAATAATGCTGAAATCTTGATTTTTTACTGTTTACTTGCTTTGAACTTCAGGAATATGGGGTATCAGTTGAAAACATATTTGTTGTGGATCCGAGTGTTTGCCCTTCTTATGAAGATATAGTAAAGCTTCCCAATAAGGTTCTTCTATGGTGTGGTAAGACATAAAATGTTGTTTATATTGTAAGGGGGAAATATCATTTACCACTCTAATTCAATGATTATTTAATGGAAGGATCACGAAGCTCAAATCTTTTGAGGCACTTGCACAAGGGATTCTTGCCAGCTATCTGTTCACTACCTGTTCCAGGTTACATGGTAAAGTCAAATAAAACTGAAAATCTATTCAATTACAATGTTGGTTATTATTTTCTCTTCACTTGTGTGTTCTTGCCAAACAGTTTGGCAAAGCCATTGTTTGCTCAGATGCTGCAGCAGAGGCTGCAAGATATGGTTTTACTGCTGTAGATAGACCAGAAGGGTTCTTGGTTTTGGCCATTGCTTCACTGGGAAATGAGATTACTGACTTGATAAGTCCACCTGAGGTAAGCATTAGTCGTTATCTTTTACAGTTTTCGCTAATGAAACTATTATTAATATGGTTATTAAAATAATTTTGAGACAGGATACAACATTTTTGGAGGAAAGCAAGATTGGAGTGAAGGGGCTTGGGAAGAAGAAAACAGATGAATCAGACCATTTTGTTTGGAAAGATGACATAAAAGTTCCTTGTGGTAGACTAATTGCCTCAGGGCATGAAGATAGTCTCTTGGAATACAATGAGTATGCTTTCTATGATCCTAAGCAGGTATAACAAGTCTTATCCAACAGCATAAGCCATATTTCAGTAGTAGGGTTATATCTGGATTTGAGCACAATTTTGTTTTGCAGGTCCGCATCTGCTACTTGGTAGGGGTGAAGTTTGAAGAGAATGGTGCTGTGATAGACACAGCAGAGTAAAAGGTATAACAAAATGATAATCAAAAAAGAGCTTTTTGCAATGCATGAGTTAAGCTGTGGCTCTTCAAGCTCAAGAAGGAAAATATGTCATTTTGACTTAAATATGTAAATTATGTAACAGCAGAATATGTCTAAGCTGTGTTATGTTTAGATGAATGTATAGGTCCTACTTAACAGTAAATGTTTTGTCCTGCTGTGTATTAAGCATGTTAGATGAATGTATATATCCTACTTTAACTTGAGAGTAAATGTTTTCTCCTACTGAGTATTAAACAACAGAGTGCAATTACATAAACTCTAACAAATACCAATAACCATTCTGATCATCAAAAGTGTTGCAAAAACTGAAATAGAACAAAATAACTCATTGAGCACATTCTTCCATTTTGATACCTCAAAATAGCACTCTGCAGTAGTACTTCCCATTGCATTATTTTGAATGGAAAGTCATAAATAGCAAAAGGCTTGACGAGCACATGTAATATTAGTTAAAGGCTAAAATGACATTAATTTTAGTGTTGGATATGTCCAAATTTTAAAAAACATTGCTCTTTGGTTTAATTGGAAGGTGTGAATATTAGTCTTACTTTTTTGAACAATTAGTAATGCATGTAATGTAAGTAGGTTTAAACCTAATATGACATGAATAATAAAATACGGTTATGAAGCAGTAAATGCAGTGAAACATAATCACCCAACTTGAAAGAAACTGAAAAAAAGATATAACACATAGAAACATGCTTCTTAATTTTGTATTAATCTAACCAAAATTTACACTTATGTTGCCTTGAGGCTACATTTGGGACAGTACGAAAAAACAAAAATTGAATCTCAAACCAAACTCAGTAATCCCTTCCACACTATCTATTCATTTCACAAGTATTACAACAACAGAACTTCACCCTATGATAAGGCATGAAAAGAACCCGACCCCTCCAACAACAATTCACTGTCAGTGATACATTACAACAGGAGGGATCTTAAACTTCTCCGATACAAAGGGTATAGGCTTATAGCCATCAACAAGGTCACGATAAAAAGCATACTCCGCCTCATAATCATGCAAATGAAGTTCAGCTTTCTGATTAGTATGATAATGATGTTTGGCAGAAGGTGATTTACCAAACCCAAATATACTAACTTTATCACATACCCCAAGAGCCAACATCACAGCTTGCATACCAGAAGAATAATGAAACAAAGCACCATCATGAGCAGAACCCCATAGTTCCAAACCCTTCCCTGTTTCCTCCACAAACCTCTTCAATGAGTAATACTTCACAATCCTAGAACATAGCACATCAAACCTAGGATCTGTAACCAACAAAGGAGACTTATGAGATGCATTACAAACAGTGTAATCCAAGAAATGTACAGCTTGACAAATGTACATAACAATTGGTACATTAGCACCATAAGGATGACAAAAACACCCTGTTCTTCTTGCACATAAATGCAAAATGTTGCTATTCACAAACGAAATACTTGTTTTCTTCCCAACTTTGTTTTCATAGTTATCAACCCTAGCATTGTTTAACCTTATAACAAACTCGTGTGCATCAATTAATGAACCATAGTTTCTATTAAGCAAAATCCCACTATTACCAACAACAGCACAAGAAGAGTACTTTTTATCACCAGAATCAGTAACAACTTTGTTAAACCGATCGAGTGGAACCTTTACTGACCGAGTTAACTCATTCATGATCCCGGGTTGAAACCTACGCTTCCTAGCCCAATCATGCAAAACTCGCCGGAAATCAATCCAATACCGATAGAAAAGCGGCGACCGGAGTGTCGCCGGGAAGCTCTTATCACCGTCATGGTGGATAAACCTCCGCCATGAAACAAATGTTCTATGCCGTGCTTGACTAGCAAAGTTACCATCAAGAAGCTGCTGAATCTCTTGCCGGGATTTCTCCTCGCCGATCTCGACCGCAGCGTGTTTGAGAAGCGTGGCGTTTAACGACGGCGAATCTCGATTAACCACACGCGTTTCAAGCTCGATTGAGATTATACCTCTGAGAAGAATGGAGCGTGAGATTAACGTGGCGAGGAAGACGAGAAGAAGGAGAAGAACGAAGAAAGGACGAACGGTGCGTTTCATAGGGAAGTTGTTGTTTTTAGGCTTTGTTGATGCTAAATGAGTAAACGAATCGATGCATTTTGGTATTTCCATTTCAGATCCATCTTTTTCTTCAGAAGATTTAAGCATTGGTAATGAAAATGATAATAATGAAGATGAAGATGGATAAGAAGATTCGAATCCAAATGTTAGGGTTTACGTCGAATCTGAGTTTCCATGATTGGGGAAGAAGAAGTGAATAGAACCCTAAAAGATGGGAATGAGTGTGAATTATGGTTATAAGATTTGTCAAGGGTTATGCAATGAAATAACGAAGAAGGGTGCATAAGAAAAGGATGAAGAATTTGCTGTAGCAGCAGAAACTGAACATTGAACATGGGGTTTTGGCTATGGTGGGTTTGTGTTTTGTTGGTTTGGTTTGGCGTGAAACCAAAACCAAACCCTAATTGGGATGAATGATTATGGTGGTAGAGAATGATAAAATATTGGTTTTGTTTGTGCGAAAGAGAGAGGGTTAATTAGGGTGTGGTTTTGCGTGGTGTGGGGAATGCAATGCATTAAAATAGCGTATGGGTGGGTGGTTGGAGCATGTTAAAATGGCATGTTTTTGTGGTCTGATTAGTGCAAATGGGGTGGGGTAAGGGCATTATGGCGTGGGAGTTGGAGCGAATGATGATGTGCTTTGCAAGTGAATGATCGTCTCATGAGATTTGAGGTGGGTCCATGAGATTAGTTTATGGCTGCGTAGAAAATAGATCTAATGTTATCTTGTTTGTTTTTGGAATTAGCATATGTGAGTGTGATTGGAGTATGCAATAATTCGATTTAGGAGGGAAGTTTGGTGGGTTTGTCTATTTCTAAACGTCTTTCCGCAAAATGGAATCTCCTTCTAAGATAGTAAGCGCCTTGATGCCACTAAATGAACGTTAGAAATAGAAGCTTTTCTTTTTGTGACTGAATTTACTCAAGTGCCATGGAGATTTTATAAAAATAGGGTTAGTTTTATATGGTAAAAAAATTTATATTAATGAATTTAAGTTGGATACGTGATATTGAATTATATTTTTAGATTAGTTTTACTAAGTTTTCACTTAATTTTATTCATGAGTTAACATGAAATCGATATTAAGTCATTAATTATCATATATTACTCTTAAAATGACCGATCTTAGACTAGAGCAATCAAGTCCATAATACAAAGTTTAAAAAGACGGGGCCTCAAATTTTGGATGATACATTATATATATATATATATATATATATATATATATATATATATATATATATATATATATATATATATATATATATATATATATATATATATATATATATATATATATATATATATATATATATATATATATATATATATATATATATATATATATATATATATATATATATATATATATATATATATATATATATATATATATATATATATATATATATATATATATATATACACACACACACGTTATGTTGAAAATTTAAAATAGATTATATCTACAATTTAGCAGAAAAGAAATGTTTCAACCCTCATTCAGCGCAAATTTGTATCTGAAAAAGTTACAATTGAGCAGAATGTTTCAGCTCTCACTCAGGCCATGCCCCAAAAGTGCAAAGATTCAGCAATTTTTGTTATTCCATGTACCATAGGTGATAGTAAATTTGAAAATCGCATGTTATATTTTGGAGCTTCTATTAAAGTTGTGCCTACTTCTATTTATAATAATCTTGATCTTGGTCCTTTGTAGGATATAGGTATAACCATTCAACTGGCGAACAGAAGCAATGCTCGTCTTGCTGGAGTAGTAGAAGATGTCCTTGTTCAAATTATTGACTTGATTTTTCCTGCAGAATTTTACATTCTGGACATGGAAGGATAAATAAATTCAAGCAAGGCACCATCATTTTAGGCAGGTCATTCATGAAATAACAAAAACAAAAATTGATGTTGATATTGGCATAATGTTTATGGAGTTTTGTGATATCATTGTTAAATTGAACATTTTTTATGCTATGAAACATCCCATGGAAGAACATTATGTTTCTCACATTGAATTGCTTTCTGAGTTAATTGATGAAACTTATTCTGACTTGTTTTCAGCCGATTTCCCATCATTGTCGGACTTTGATGATACTTACTATTGTGATTCATGTACTAACACTAACCTTTATTTTATTTGTGTTGAGATTGAGATTGCCTTACAGGTTGACATTTTTCCTACAAATGAAGTTGTAGATGAAGTTATTTATGCAGTTGAAACTCTCGACATCTTAGTTGTCCCAACTAAACCGTCCATCGAACAACCACCTATCTTAGAGCTTAAACCACTTCCTGACAATTTGAAATATACATTTTAGAGAGGAATAAAAAGCTATCGGTAATAATTTCATCAAACCTTAATTTTGATCAAGAAAACAAGCTTTTACAAGTTTTGAAGAAGCATAAGAAGGTGATTGGGTGGACCTTGACAGACATACCTGATATTAGCCTCTCCATGTGTATGCATAGGATTTTGCTTTAAGACGGAGCTAAAGCAGTGAGGGAGCCCCAAAGAAGACTTAACCCATTTGATTCTTGATGTTGTTAAGAATGAGATAACCAAGTTGTTGCAAGCAGATATCATATATCCTATCTCTGACAGTAATCGGGTAAGCCCAATACAGGTGGTACCTAAGAAATTTGGCCTCACAGTGGTAAGAAATGGAAGAAAAAAAATGAATTTGTTCCCACTAGAGTTCAAAATAACTTGAGAGTTTGTATTGATTAAAGGCGATTAAACGAGGCAACTAGAAAGGATGACTTTTCTTTCTTGTTCATTGATCAGATGCTTGAAGATTGGCTGGTAAATCACATTATTATTTTCTTGATGGTTTTTTAGGTTACTTTTAGATCCATATTGCACCTGAGGATCAAAAAAAGACAACTATCATGTGCCTATTCGGTACATTTGCTTACAAAAGGATGCCATTTCGTATGTGCAATGCTCCTAGCACGTCCCAGCGATGCATGCTTAACATTTTTGCTTAATTTATTGAAAACTGCATGGAAGTGTTTATGGATGATTTTACTGTTTATGGTTCTTTATTTGATGCATGCTTGAAGAGTTTGGATATGGTTTTAGAAAGATGCATTGAAACTGACCTTGTTTTGAATTATGAAAAATGTCATTTTATGGTCAAACAGGGAATTATTTTAGAGCACATAATCTCTGCAAAAGGCATTTCAGTGAACCCTGCTAAGATTGATGTGATCTCTAATTTACCTTACACATCTTGCATTCGCGAGATTCATTCTTTTCTTGGTCATGCAAATTTTTACAGACGCTTCATAAAGGATTTCAGCAATATATCTCTTCCGCTTCAAATTTGTTGAAAAATGAAGTCACTTTCAACTATGATGAAAAATGCAAAAAAGGCATTTGATTTCTTAAAGAAAGCACTGGCCTCTACTCCCATGATCCAACCACCTTACTTCATGCTTTTCAAGTATGAGACACTTTGGTCCTCAAAGAATTACAAGAAAAGTCACAGACTCAGGTTTTTATTGGTCCACTATTTTTAAAGATGCTTATGAGACTTACCGCACTTGTAAAGAGTATTAGATAGCAGGTACATCCATTACTCTTAAGAGTGAAATGCCTTAGCAACCTATGCTTTTCTGTGAGGTGTATGGTGTATGGGGAATCAACTTTATGGGTTTTTTCCTGTATATTTTGGTTTTATTTACATTTTACTGGATGTTGATTATGTTTTAAAATGGGTCGAAGTAATTCCCACTAGGACTAATGATTCTAAAGTTATTGCAGATTTTGTCAAGTCTAATATTTTTTGTAGGTTTGGAATACTTCGTGCTATTATAAGTGACAAAGGCACTCATTTCTGTAACCACACCATTGAAGCTTTGCTCTGAAAGTATGGAGTTGTGTACATGGTCTCTACTGCATATCACCCTCAAACTAATGGGAAAGATGAGATCTCAAACTGTGTAATTAAGCTGATTTTGGAAGGAAAAAAAAGTGCAACCAAATAGGAAGGACTAGAGTCGTTGTCTAGAAGATGCACTTTGCGCTCAAAGAATAGCTTTCAATATACCAATAAGGATGTTTCTCTATCGACTTATGTTTGGTAAGGCACGTCACCTCCTTGTAGAAATCGAGCATCGTTCTTATTGGGCAGCCAAAAGTTGTAATTTAGAAATGCAAAAAGCATGTATGGAAAGAAAAATCCAATTACAGCAGCTTGAAGAGCTTAGACTAGAAGCCTATGAAAGCTCTAGAATTTATAAGAAGAAAACTAAGAATTTCCATGATAAGATGATTTCTAGGAAGAAATTCTCTATTGGCTAAAAAAAATATTGCTGTTTAACTCCCGCCTAAAAGTTATGGTTGGGAAACTTCAATCCAAGTTGATTGGCCCTTTTGTTGTTACTAATATTTTCCCTCATGGTGCAGTAGAAATAAAAAGTGCAGGTACTAATAAAGTCTTCAAAGTTAATGGGAAGCGCTTGAAGTTATTCCATGAAAGTTCAGTGCTTGAATATGTAACCATGGATGAGTTTTCCTTGGAAAAGCCCACCTACACTGCAACTTAATCAGGGAGCCCTTTTTCCTTTCTCTCACTCTTATTTTATATTTATGTTCCTTCACTCAGGATAATGTGTGTCTTAAATGTGAGGGAGGAAACCATTTATTTTCTTTTCTTTTATTCAGTTTTCATTATTTTTGTTCGTTTTCTTAAATTAAAAAAATTAAAAAATTAAAAAAAATGTTGGTTTTTCTTTAGTTTTTTGTTACAATTGTGAGTATTTTCCTAGTTTTATTGACTATAAACTCATGGTGTGATACAACTAATTCATTTTGAATTCTTAGTATCTTAAGTAAAACTAAGATCTAAATTGTGCATAATTTGTGGTAGATCATTTACCTATGTGTGATTTTAAGCCTAATAATGGACAACATTCAAAAATCCATCTTTTTCTTTCTTCTGTGTTTTCACTTGTGTCTGTTACTCTCTATAACTTGATTTGCCTCTTTTTGAAATGGTTAATTACTTGTGTACACTTATATGATAAATGCAAGTTGTTTCTGTTTTTATTTTTAGCTAGTTAGCCAAAAAGC